GGTCAGACCCCTATGACTCACTCCAACTAGGTCCCTCCTGCTAAGTCTTCACCTACATCCCAGTTATGCCATTAAGATATAAATCCATCAATGGATTAAACCACTGATGAAGTTAGATTTCTTATGATCCAATCACTTCTTAAAGCGCCACCTTGAACACATGAGCTTTGGGGGGAGAAATCTTAGATCCAAACCTTAAATTAACATTCCCTTAGGTTTCTGCCTGTGTCCATGCACTCTGTAGGACTGAGGATGTGGACAGGAGCACTCAAACTGTTGGAGCTAAGCATGGATAGATGAACTTTCAATAACCACTTCATCTTATTCTCAGAGCAACTCCATGTTGTGGTGGTCATTATGTCCATTTGAGAGTTGAAGAAATACAGATCCAAAAAGAGTAAATGCTTACCCACTATTTAGTTAGTGCAGAGATAGAACTAGAACTTGGGTCCAATAGACCCTAGAGCCTGTATTTCAATTATAAAGATTTCTGGTGCATATAAGGGAGTAGACTAGGGAGTCTGAACATAATGTGGTGGGCTACAAAGCCATCAATAATTATAGAGAAGTGGAGTGGCATGACTAAAACAGTGCTTTAGCAATTTCAATCAGGCAGCCACAAACAAAGTGAGCTTTTGGGTTGTTCCAAGCTTAGAACACTCTGGGATGGGAATAACATAATGACCTAATGTGAAATATAAAGGAGCTCTGAACCAAGGGGAAATAACCATGACATGTATTTGCCGAGCACTTGATGTGTGACAGATAGAGTACTCCACTGGAGATCACTGAGTACCTAGTGTGAACGGGAAGTGCCATTATTGGCAACATTATAGTGCAGGAGTGAAATGTTTGGGTTTTCTAAGCACACAAACTTGATTCACCACCAGTGACTCTAGACATGTTCCTGCACTTCTGAGTCTGTTTCTTCATTTGTAAATGAGGCATAACACTGGTATCCACTTAGTAAAGTGGTTGAGGTCGGCTTAGATGAGACAGTCCCTAGGAAACAGTGAGCAACATGACACAGAGTGTGTATGTCTGCAGGTTAACTATGTTAGTTATTACCATACACATACATATTTTGCAAATGAAGAAACTAAGGCTTGCAGAGTTGCATGAGTTTTCTCAAGGCTGGACAATTAAGGTTGGAATGGGGCAGTCTGACCCCATAAAGTGCACTTGATCTATCCTAGGGGAGAGGCTAGTACTGAGGATGGGAAAGAAGGGACACGAGAGACATTCAGCTTGGGTGATGGTACCTCAGAACAGACGGATGGGAATGGCACACAGCCAGGGCCTTGAAGATTCTCTTTCACAGATGGCTTGTGCTAAGCTGGCTATGGATTGAAAAATTCCGTCCCTGTGATTATCTTTCTCTTTCATGAAGCTTGCAGTACAATCACACCCTCCTCTGTACATGAAGAGCCAAAGTAGACTGTGTTTGTTTACAGCTCTGCATTGTGCATGAAGCATCACATGGGTACACTGGTAATGTCCAACCCACTGTACATGGAGCTAAGATCTTGGAAAATCTCAAATTCCACTCACATCCAGTCTGACCTCCACCTTCCACCAATGCAGTGACCTCAAAGAAGTGTGTATATGTAGGTTTTCTCAAAACCGTCTTCATTGGGCCCCAACTGTGTCCTTAGTGTATGTGTATTATTGAGAACTTTCTCCATTCTTCATGTATTCAGTCCGGGAAGTGCTGAGGCACTGCCTTTTGCAGTTTTAATGTAGCTCAGGTTGTTGGTTTTCTCAGAGGCATCACTCTTCTATGGGAATTATTATATTTCCTTATAATTAAATTTGGAACATTTAAGCCCTAACCCAAGAGGCACCAAACAGTATGTAAGGTTGATGACCATAACTGCCTTTAGGGTTTACTTCTGTGTCTTCTTCTGTTGGTAGGTTCTTTATGTTGTTACCTTTTTGGTATTTAAGGAGGTTCTATGGACAACTGTTGGATTTACAGGTCTTCTATAGCCTCCTGCTTATCAGTAAATGACACATTAGAATATATCTTAAGCTTTGGATGAGGGAGTGATTTCTCAGGGTAGGTAAGTGATGATGTTGAATGAGATTTTTTTTTTTTGACATAACATTCAAGATCCATACAAAATGAAACCTCATCAAGAGCTCAAAGAACAACACATGCTGGTGAAGTTGTGGGGGAAAAGGAATCTTCTACATTGTTGGTGGGAATGTCAAGTAGCACAACCACTGGAAATCTGTATAGAGATACCTCACAAAACTAAAACTGGAAATTCCATTTCATTCAGCTATACCTCTTTTGGGTACTTTCCCAAAAGAATGAAAGATACCATATTACAGTGGTACTCGCATACCCATATTTATGGCTACAAAACTCATAATAGCTAAATTTTAGAAGCAGCTTATATGCCCATCAACAGATGAACAGATAAAGGAAATGAGGTATAGACATACAGCAGAGTACTACTCGCCACAAAGCAGTATAAATTTGAGTTATTTGTAGGAAAATGGATGTGCCTTGAGAGCGTAATCCTGAGTGAAATAAATCAAACACAGAAGGCTATATGAGAAACCCATATTAGAGATAATTTAAAGAGAAAATAAAAGATTATAGGAAACAGGGAAACAGATTATGTGGAGACAAAAAGGGAATCTGGAGACGGGGGAGATGGGAGGGAGGGGAGAAGAAGTAAAAAAGGATCGAGATGAAAAGTTATACGTACCAATTCTCTGCAATGAATGTATTCATTATGTATTACAAACATACACCAAATATAAAAAGAAAAAAAGAAAATGGAAAAATACAATCTCAGGTACTGAGCTCTCCCCTCTTCGTGTTCTGCTTCCACCAAGGACCAAGGGCATTCCTCTTGGGCTTGGCTCACATGCTCCTCCACAAGTGCATCCTCTCATCATCCACTTCTTGATGTGTGACAGGCCAAGCCTTCTGCCAGGTTCTGGGGCCAGAGGGATGAGGACACTACAATCTCTGCCCTTGAGGAGCTCACAGTCTTGATGAGATGTGATGTAAAATGATTAATCAATTCAAGAATATTGGGTTTCTCTAAACGCTACTGTAAGGAAAAAGAAAATTATCCAAAGTCTTTAAATCTGTTGCTCATTTTAATTGACTAAATTAGGTGAAATTTATAGAACAGTAAAGTTGGAAAGAGCCTAGAAGGTATTTATTTACTTCCATTTCTTCTCTCTGCCTTCAGGCTACACTGCACTCAAATTATCCTCCAAACCCATATATTTCAGAAAAGAGCAGTATTTCAAAGAATGATAGCTCTTGGCCCATTTAGATAAAACTTTCGGCAAACATCTACAGAAAAGATGAGGTAGAATTGTTGAAAGAATTGACATGCACACTACAAAGTGCTGTATTATTAAGAAAGATACGAGTGGAATCATCCACCACACTCACACACATACACACACGCACACACACACACAACTGCATGCACGCATACGGAATCTTCCTAAGTTATACTACTGAGGTGGTGTCACATACACATAGCAAATACAGAGTAGAAATTGAAAACATGGTTGCAAAACTAAGAATTTTTTTCAGCTCCCAGAAAAAAAAATGGATCTTGGCATTTGTCAAATCTTGTTTTGCTGCAACACAGAAGCATATCTTTTGTTCAGCTGGCATTTTTGCGCCATGTCAGCCCATCAATATGGGGTGTGTATCCACTATGTATTGGTCTTAAATGATCCCAGGAAGGCTGGGTGTGGGATGGGGGGACTGGACATGGGGTCTAAGGTCCAAGGTGACTTACTGAGTGACTTTTTAGAGCCTCATTCTTCCTGCTGACGATACCAACTTCTCAGAATCATTCTGAGGGCGTGGTGCATCAAGGCGTGTGAAAGTGGTTTGTAAATTATGTGACTGCATCATCGCATGCCTTTTCCTAATGAAAATTTGTCCTCCTAATTATCAGTTCATGGGGACATCAAGATTAATAGATGAGCTTCAGCCCAACACAAGTCAACACACCAGTTTCTGTGTGAAGAGCCGTCAGTGGTTGCTCCTTACATTCAGAATAGAGCCAACACCTGTGGGTCTAGTCCTAGAGACTCTGTGTGATCTTGCTAAGATCTTCAGCATCACTTCATTGTTTCTACTTCATGAGCCCAAATACTTTTATCCTAAAATAGTCACAATGTGCCCCAAGATTCTTCTGAATGCCATGCTTACTATTGCCCATCTTCCTCACCGGAACATTCCTTCCACATTCCTACAGGCTTCTCTTTGTCCTCAGGTCATGGAAGCTATTTTCCCTTAACTTCTCACCAGGTCTCTAAAAGCACAGACTCATTGTGTCTATTTTACATATCATTATTTCCCAAGGTCTAAAGCAGTGTTGATCCATAGTAAGGTGTTCAACAAGTGTTTGTTGATTGAAAAGATAGATCTTCCAACAGTGCTTACTATAGTCTGTATTACACACCAGTCTTTTACATTTAAGTGCAGAAACCCTGCTCACATTGGCTTATATGAACACAGGAACTTATTAGTTCATATAACCAGGAGATCCCAGGTAAATGGCTTCAGCCGTGGCTGACTCCAGGGACTCCAAATATGTTTTTGGGAATCTGTCTTTATTTTCTACTTTGCTTCTGTTGGCTTCATTTTCTCATCATGAGCCTGGGGCCAGATAAAGTTTGTTCTCTTGGAACCAATGGACTCAAAGGGTGGAAGATAGGAGGATCTAGAGGAGGAAAATGAGAAGAATAGCTGATAGGTGAGCAAAAATAACACGTCTGTCCCGGTATGGGCTCTGGGCTTCTGAACACAAGGTCTTCTCTCAGCTCTGTATTTTCAGTATCCTTTTCAGAGCCTGGAATATAGTAGGTGCTTAGGAATGTTTTTGAATGAGTAGATGTGTCTTTCTTTCCCATACTTCTAGGAAGAACTTCTTGAAGCCCATAAAGACAGTTTTATATATACTATCTTCTGCCTCATACTGTTTTCCTTTCTTTTCACCTGTTGGCAGGATCCAACGTCTACCTTCTTCCAGTTTGGAGCATCCATCCAGCAGCAAGCCACAGTCATGCTGAAGATTATGCAGGATTATGACTGGCATGTCTTCTCCCTGGTCACCACCATCTTTCCTGGGTACAGGGACTTCATCAGCTTCATCAAGACGACAGTGGACAATAGCTTTGTGGGCTGGGACATGCAGAACGTCATCACACTGGACACCTCCTTTGAGGATGCAAAGACCCAAGTCCAGCTAAAGAAGATTCACTCTTCTGTCATCTTGCTCTATTGCTCCAAAGATGAGGCTGTCCTCATTCTGAGTGAGGCTCGCTCCCTTGGTCTCACCGGGTATGATTTCTTCTGGATCGTCCCCAGCTTGGTCTCTGGGAACACGGAGCTCATCCCCAAAGAGTTTCCATCAGGACTCATTTCAGTCTCCTATGATGACTGGGACTACAGCTTGGAGGCTAGAGTGCGGGATGGCCTGGGCATCCTAACCACTGCTGCATCCTCCATGTTGGAGAAGTACTCCTTCATCCCGGAGGCCAAGGCCAGCTGCTATGGGCAGACAGAGAAGCCAGACGTCCCTCTTCACACTTTGCACCAGTAAGAGAGGGCTCTTTGCTTTTCTCCAAAAGTGGGATCAGGGTTTTGTTACTGTTGCTGTTTGCTCACACGCTTACTGATGGAAATATGCGCTGCACATAGAGAATGTCATGTGCCTATATTTATAGGAGTTTTATTTGATTTGGTTTCCCCCTATTTTCTATTTCCTTTTCTTTTCATCTCAATTTGTTTTTAAGATAAGTAACATTGTATTTTAATTGTTTTCTGCAGCTTACTTTTTTTTTTAACTGAACCTCACATCTTGGAAACCTTCATTTAAGATCTATCATTTGTGTCCCAAGTAAATCTAAATTCTTTGTAACACATATGTCACATTCTTTAACATGAGTATACCATGATTTACTTATCCAGTAAATAAGTACTTATTTACTTGTCAATGATAGGAATTTAGGGTTTTTTCCCCAGACTTTTTCCATTAGAAGCTAAACTGCAGGGATAATCATCACATATATCTCTTTAAGCACATGTGCAATTGTTTTTCTAGTCTGGATTTTAAAAAGTGGGATATTGGGGTCACAAGGCATGTACATTTTTAACTTTAAGTGTCTACTGCTAAATTGTGCTATACAGAAATGGTATCAATTTACACTCATACCAATAGTTTGTGAAATCATCCAACTTCTCAATTCCTCAGGAGCATGGTGTATGCTTTGGAAAAACTGCCCATACTGGTGCTCCTGGTCTCTGACTTTGTGTCTGAATTTCTTCTCATATTCTAAATATTTTTGTAGGTCATTGGAAACTTTGGCAAACTTCACTCTTGAAGTTGCGTTATATTCCATCATATGTATGTATCATAATTTATTTAACTGCTCTCATCATGGCAGAGATTTAAGTGAAATGTTGTGTTTCTGGGAAGCATCATCATTCCTCGTGGCCTGCCATTTTGTCTTGGCTGTTGAGATTTAGAATTATCACTCAGGCACTCACGTCACATGTATTTTCCTGATGTTCATTGATTTAATCCGTGCTTCAATTTTCAAATAATGAGAAGTGTGGCACTGTGATTAATGACTGGGCTCTGGAGTTAGCCTTGTCCAAGTTCAAATCTTGTTTCATCTACTTTCTAGAGGACTTGGACAATTGCTTTACCTTTCTGGGCTTTCTATGTTTATTGCCTAGTGATGCTAATAGCTTCTACTTTCTAGGCAGTCATTTTCAAGCTTTATGCACAAGAATTTCTGAGAGGGTTGCTAAAATATTATTTGGCTCTGTGGTCAGAGTTTCTCAGATATTAGTAAATTCGTGCCTCCATAATTAGCAAGTTCTTGGGTGAAATACTGACATTGCTAGTTGAGGACCATGCTTTGAGAACCAGTGTTCTAGAGGTCATGGTATTAAATGAAGAGATGGAGGAGAAATGCTTCTTGGCACAGTGCTGATATTTTGGTCCCTCTTTAATAACTTTGAGAGTGATGAGTGAAGGTTTTGGTTATAAGAAATTACAGGCAGCAGACCATGTTGGTTTATCGCCAGCAAGGTAAGGTATCATTTAAAAAATATCTCTGGAAGCTTCTAGGGCTTTGAGTTTGCTACATTTCAGAGGTTATCTTTGAACTGGGGTTTTCAGAGTGTGTGTGAGTGATGGAGTAGACAGAATATACTTCTTTACAATTAACATACAACTGAAAAATGAATTCTTGATTTAAGAAATCATGCACTTTGATACTTCTCATTCCTCTCTCCTTTCCCCCTCTTCAGTAACCCTGCTTTTACATTGCCACTTTCAGCATTGTAAATAATTATCTAAATATCAGGAAGGAACTCAGATCATTCAGGATAAAACATGGGAGCCTCTTCTGAAAGCAAGATTGCTGCCAGCCTGGGGACAAGGGCTGGGCTAATGAATTCATATTTCCCTTAATAAGATATGCCCTGCAGCTGGAAGACCCAGAGATGTATAATTTTGATGGCAACATAACTCAATTGTAGGACAAGTGAAAGGAAGTATATATAGAAAAAGGAATCTGAGAGGGATAATTGGCAAGATGGATACCTTTCCAGGGACCACCCTGGATTCCATTTTTGAAAAAAAAAAAAAATCCCTGTTTCTGTGAGAGGCTGTTGTGCTGTTTCCAGGAGTTATGCCATTGAATGTAGCAATTTTGTCAATGGCATTTCAACTCCAGAGAAGTAATGCATGAAGGGCAGGAAGTTGTCACCCACTGTTTGGTGTTTACTGAAACATCTCTCCATCCATGGGGGGCTTTTAGTGCTCACCTTGGGCATGAGGGTGGATAATGGCACACTCTCTTCTCCTGCCCTACGAAGGAATGGGAGCTCATCAAATTTCCCCTTTCTGGGAGTTAGAGAAAGCCCAGAGAGTGCAGTTTAAAAAATGAAGGACACTATCTCTATCTTGCATCCATCATTCTTTCATCCTGGAATGAAAGAATACAGACCTGTGGTAGCCCTGGAATACACAGATGCATTAAGTTAGAATATCTGTTCCCAGAGACCACATAGTTTGATAAAGATGGGAGAAAGTTGTCTAAAGACAAACTCTGGTAACAAGAATTATTTTTTTTTCAGTATTAAAAAAGAGAGTACTACAAAACCTGACAAAATATCCTACCCAGTACTCACAGAGAATAAAGGTCCATATGTCACATTTGTTTCAACATTTTAAAAGAAAGAACACATTAACAATAATGTACAAGTTCTGGTTGCATCTCTCTCTGATCCCACCTTTCTTTCCTTCTCCCCACGAGAGGGAAAAATACCATAATGAATTTGATATTTATCTGAATCCATGCACGTGTTTTTTATACTTTCAACAAAGGTGGATTTGCAACTATCTACCGAATTCATAGTACTTTTTAATGTACATCAGTGATATCTAATGTATTAGGTTTTCCTTTATGTCTACCTTTGTTTTAATGATCACCTTGTGAAGATAACAGAATTCCAGAATATTCATCTCCCTGGCTCTCTTATTTTCTAGTGTGTGGAGAGAGAGAGAGAATCTTTTACCTAATCAGTTTCCTTTGATGGACATTTACATTGTGTTAGGAAGGACGCTTCAGTCTGGGTAGCTGAAGGCAGAGGACAGAGGTCAGTAGCTTGGCGAGTTGGGCCTATGGGATTGTTCAGTGAGATCCTAGGACTTCTCATTTCAAGCTTTGAAAAACTACATTTTCATATAGATAGGAAGTCTTCTTTGCAAGGCATCTTGTAAACAAATAGCTTTCATTAGTTTCCCTATGTAGTAGGGTGGATGATAATCGCTTCAGAAGAGACTCAGATGAATTGAGCCCTGATGAGGAGGATCTCATGAGGAGGTAATCTGCGGTCCAGCCTTGAGTAGTTGAGAACAGTACCCTGGGGGTAACTAAACATCCTGCTTGGTGGTCCTCAAGGATGTTGCTTACAATTTTGTATGTGAATCTCGTGCAGTTAGGGTATCACAGCAATGCTGTGCTGTTTGTGGTGCTTGACATGGTACAGGGGGCCGCTTGCCAGAGTTGGTGTACTCACGATCTTACTATGAACCTGTTTCTGCCCCTGTGATTTAGGAAAAAAAGTAGGGGCAAGGGGGAAATTTTCTTCATGTTTAATATTCCTGGCTTTACAGAAGGCACTTGGAAAAGAGCAGTCAGCATTTTCCAAAGTTCAAAAATAGCACAGCCATGTTATGTAACCTCCTCCTTGCTGCTGCAAAGTTATTAAACATCTGTTCCTTCACCGAGCACAGAGCAGATCACGGGTAACTCCCAGAATGAAGAAGATAAAACATTACCTGTTTTGTGAGTGTGGAGTCTCAGCCGGTCATTTAGATCTGTCCCAAGGATCTGCCCTGTCCATCAGCAAATGGGACCCCCTGGACAGTGTGGATTTGTGGGTAAGAGTGGGGGTGCAGGCATCGGGCTGCCCAGGCTGTCTCTGATGGGCACACGTTCAGACCTAAGACTTTAAGTGAGGCTCTCAATTCCCCCAGGTCTGTTCCTGGGTATAATATGGGAACAGGAAAAGTATGTGCCTCCTAGACCAGTTGCCTAGCCCTCAGAAAACAGTCTATAGATGGAGATTTTTGCAAGTTGGGCACCCTAGTCCAAAAATGTGAAATACAAGATACAAAATTTTTTGAATGCTGACAGAACACCACAAGTGGAAAATCCCATTCTCAATCCCACATGACAGGTCACAATCAAAATGCAGGTGCACTAAAACTATTGTCAAGAATTACCTTCAGGCTACCTGTATGATGTAAGATGTATATAAAACATAAGTGAATTCTGTATCTAGTTCTGGGTCCTATTTCTGTGATGTCTCATTATGTGTGTGTAAATATTCCAAAATCTGAAAATATTCAATATCCCCAGTACTACTGGTCCAAGCAGTTCAGATAAGAGATACATAACCTGTATTGATGAAACATGCGCATATAACACTGTGGGTGAAACAAATGTATTTGTATGGCATAGCCCACTATATTGTCATTTGTTTATGCTATAAAACATATTCAGTGCCTTCGAGAGGCTAGCACTAGTCACCCATAGGTGAAGATACACCGAAATGTCAGGCAGGTTTGTCATTTATCTCTTGCTTTGTCCAGGTTACAGGGTTAGTGGGACATTCGTGGACGGGCTCAGCTCTCCAGGGAGGGATGTTGGAGGAAGGGTCTATCCTTATGGCAAGCAGCACCTTAAGAAAAGAAGCAGGATCCAGGTGACTCAGTGCTCTGTGAATACCTTCCAGGTTTCTATTTAATAGTTTATATTCTTTCATGGTGGTTAAGTCTCTATCCATTAATACTTATGTTTCCTGGATAAAGTTCACATCACATTTTAAAACCATGTTTGTATGAGATGCAGCACATTAAATATGTGCTCTCTGTGTGTGAACATTTTGACTGTGACATGTGTGTCTACATTCAGACATGAGAGTGTACACGTGTATTTCTGTACATGCATGTATATGTGTGTCTCCTTTCTCATTGGAGAGACACATATTACACTTAATAAGAAAGAGGTTGTAGA